ATTGCCTTCTTCTGTGTGTGAATGGGGTAATTGTTGGGATGCCACGGAGAAACCGGGGAAGCCCCCGGAGGAAAACTCCGTGTTGCCTAGACCACGGCCTTGCCCAACACAAGTTATAAATTCGGGCACCGCCGGGAATCGAACCCGAGACCCCAGGATTACAAGGCCACCGCTAGACCACCGTGGCTCGTGCTGCTGAAATACCCAGAAAATAAATGACTACTATAAGCATGTGAAGATTTGAACTCCGGATTCAACTTCGAGAAGGTACGAAAATGAACACAATCTACACAGTGAAAGACAGGCATCTGGTCACAAAACTGATGAAATATCTTCGCTATTTATACTGCAAGGACTTCAAAACACGTCTTTGAGATCCAGTCTGCGAGGGGCGAGCCGTCGTTTGTAGCGTCATCAAATTGCGTGATTCAAGGCCACGGAAGAAATTCACCCACCTTACCACGCGGCTCTACGTCAACAGCGCGCAGTTACTAGGTTTGCTACGCTGCTAGTTCAAAGCTGTATTCACTCGCCTGGGCTCCACTGTTCTTGATGCAACGATGTAAGACTTTGCTATGACTTGAAGCATGCAATTTTGTGACGAGTACAATAGCGAGAAAAGGGGTAGGTTATATATGAAGGTATTCAGAAACGACGGAACAAAGCGCAACCAAACATACGTTTCTAGTTAATACAGCTCATCGCTGCACAACGGAGCCATGAGCGTAAGAGAACAGCTACAAAGAGAGGAAACTAGGGAAAACAAGCCGGGAACGACCTTTACATCACTGACATTAACACTTTAAAGCTGAAACTTGTCTAAATAATATTCAAGGCTACGGTCCATATCGCCGAGAAAACACACCACCATTACAAACATAAGCTTGTTAATGCTGTTTAAGGAAATGATCGCTGTTTACACTGCGAAACACGTTGTGGGCAAAAGGTAGAATTATCGTTAAAGAAGGTGGTGTATATACAGAGCAATGGACTTTAAGGTGTTAATTATGTGTAATAAATCATTGGAAAATAAGTAATAAACCAAATATCTCACGCCAAATAGAAGCTGGAAATAAATGAAGACAATAGAACATAATAACATGATAATACTGAGAAAAATAATGACAACACGAAATACATGTCACACTTTATCCGAAAGCGCCCTCAGAATTAACCTGCTGTTAATATATTTTATCAATAACGTCCACTACATATCAAAACAGCCGAAAACAATACATTTTTAAAATTTTACTTTCATTACTGTAATGAAAGATGTGAGGTAAGTATGAATAGTACTATAATTTAAAAAAAATAACACACATGTTAGGAAATTAATCCATTTAATAATTGATACATGGTTATGTAACGTTGATGTCAGCAGCTAAGACTAAGTAGCGTAGAATTATAGGTTGATTAATGAATTTACTAATGATGGAAGCAGTCGTGGCCTAATTAAATTTATTATCCTGAAAATGCTTTAGAAATACTGAGGAAAACCACCTACCTCAGTCAGGATAGTCGCTTTCCGATCCGATAAATGAACCCGGGGCTCGACTCGAGTGTAAGCCACAAGAAGTTGGCTAACAATGCATTTTACCTAACAGTTTATAGTATTTTA